GAAGGGAAGGAGCAGACAGGTCAGTGTGGTTCCTCCCCAGGTGCTCCGGCTGCTGCAATAAGTGCAGCCGCTGGAGAGGAGGTGAATCTCCTCTGGGGCAGCCTGATTCTGGACAGTCGGGCACCACGCTCCGGCTCCCCAAGAGTGTGGTGGCAGGGAAGCCCCCAAGAACCCGCTGCTGGCAACATAAGCCCAGCTGGGAGACATGCTCCTTGCGCCTGCCCCTGGGCTGCTGTTCCAAGCACCGTATCCTCCCCCGCTTCCCTGGGCTCTCATGGCTGCGATGTGGGTTCTGCGGGCCACTGTGCCATGTTTCTTGGTGCTGAAAGCCCTGTGGGGTGGGGGTGGAGAAACGGGAGCGGGGGCTTGTTTTAGAATAGCAATTCCAAGTGGTATGAGAAAGTAGTGAGGTTGGGCTCGAGCTGGGAGAGGGATGGGGGGTCAGAGGAATGAGGCAGGCAGGACGCATAGTGACACAGTGATGTCACTCTGTTGTCCCACAGGAAAAGGGTTTTTTTAATATATAGAGAGAAAACAGTAAGTATTTCTACTTTTGGAAAAAACATGTAATGCATATATACAAGAAACCTACTCAAAATACCGATGATGGCAAAACATTTGGAATTAATACAGCTACTAAAATGCAACACATTATTTGAACAAAAATCAATATTCTTCCTAATTATTCTTAGTGACATGACCGTTAAAGAAGTACTAATATAATGGCTCCAAGTTTTCAAAAACTTGAAATAACATTTTCATGAGGTTTGGGAAAGTGGTAGATTAGCGGCAGCACACATCTCATGGAAAAAAGGTAAAGATAGAATCATCAAAGAAATGTATTAAAGAGAAAGCAAACGCTAATCTTGTCAAGGTTTACATAGCACACATACACTCACCTGCCGCAACTGTGATTCTTCTCGAAGTTGTCTGCGTGCTTCATTGTACATTTCATCCAGACCCTGTCTAGAGTGTTTGTACGTTTGAAGCTCTGCCTCAACATCTACTTTCGTTACCTAGGCAGAAATTACAGAGGTATCTGGATGTTGTTACACATGGAACAATTGTTATAATTACATACAACTAGTTTGTGGAGAGAAAAGTTACTTAAATTCACAATGTACTATGTAAGTAGAATACACACAGTGACCAAATAGGATCCAAGATTACCTACATTATGTATTAATTAGTTTTAAATTAAGAATTAAAATTGAGCTTAAAAATGTAAACTTTGCAAAATTAAATGAACATATTTCAGCTTTGCTTTTCAACAATTTGTAAGCATATGAGTAGTCCTACTGATCAAAAGGAGACAGCACATATACTTAAGTATGTTGCTGAGCTGAGGCCCAGAAGAGTAGTTTGTGGCACAAGATTGCAACAGGTCCCTAAATAACCCCAGAGGCATTTAATTCCCCCAGTTATTGAAATCTCACTGATAATAAGGGACCCCAAGTTATCCAGAAATATTTTTCAATAACTGACTCTAAAGTTATTCATAATGGCTATTCTGAACAGAACAGGATGTACAATATCCTGGTCCAACACACAAATTCTTTTCTGACAAGTGTTTACAATAAAATATTACGTCAACCACCGCAAACAAAAAGCTGTAAATTTTAATCAAAGATCAAATGCAAAAGGTAAGAAAAAATTCTAAAAATATATTTAGAACAACAAAATAACCTAGTCTCAGAGGAGCAGCCATGTTAGTCTGTAACTTTTTCACTTTGCCCACAAAAGCTTATGATATTATGTATATATGTATTTTGTTAGTCTCTCAAGTGCCAAAGGATACTCGTTTTTAAAATAATCTAGATTGATTCTCACAAAATTTAGATAAGATTTATCGTAAAGCATAAATGTAACCTGTTAAATAGGCCAACTCCTTACACAAAATTATTTTAAGGCAGTCCTACTATTTGCTGAAATATAGTTGCTAACATTCAAATTACAAGAAACCAGGCAATACCACTCAAATGACAAGAAACCAGACAATGCTTAATTATATTGAATTAATTCACATACCTCTAGGTGATGCTGTGTTTTCATTAAAATAAGTGTGTTTTCACTTCTTAACTGATGATTTTCTTCCTGAAGTTTAATTATATTGTTTTTTGCTATTGCTAACTAAAAGGCAAAAAGGGAGAAAAGTGTATGACTATAACAGAACACTAAAAATACTGCAATTATTCTAATGTGTACATAACTAATATTACTGCTTATTCTAGTCTCACAGTGTGCTGAATAAGAGAACTAAATTTTGTATGCATGCAAAACTACTAGAGGTTGAACCTCTTTAGTCCAGCACCCTCGGGACCTGACCAGTACTGAACCAGAGAATCTGTCTGACCATAAGAAGTCAATGTTGTCTAGAAGCATTACCAACACCTACACTGCTTACTGGGATGTTAGAAGACATTTTGACGACATCTAGACTACAAAATCTTTTGTGGAGGCAGGAAAAGGGAATAAGGGAATTTGTGTGCAGCTATCTTGGTCTTGTTAACGAGAGAGCAAGAGTCAGGCTAAGTCTGTGGCCTGACAACGCGAGATCTGTAATTAGACGCTGCCTTTGCCTCTCGCCTCTATACAGAGATAGGGATAGAATGCTGACTGGCAGGGACCTTGAGATAAGGAGCATCTGGGTGGAACTAAATAACTGTTAGCCATTGGTGTTTGTAATGGGAAGGAGACCAATTGTTATTGTTATTATATTTATAGACAGTATATAAACTGCTTCATAATTGCTTGTATTTGAAGATCTGCCTCGGAGGGGGGGCTCCCCCCCGTCCGAACCAGTTTTTCCCTTGCTGCAGCTCGTAATAAAACTGCCTCTGGCTACTTGTTGCTTACAAACTCAGAGTGAGGACAATGTTTTCTTCCACACTTTCAAAAAAGCCTCTTTCGAAAGACTACAAGCAGATTTTTCAAAAAAGCAAGCCGCTTTTTCAAAAAAAGAGTCTAGACGCTCTCTTTCAAAAAAGCACAGTTTGCATTCAATAGTGCCTTTTTTCGAAAGCGTACTTGCGAAAAAAGGCGTTATTCCTCGTAAAATTAGGTTTACCACAATCGAAAAAACTGCCGCGTTCTTTCGATTTACTTCTGAAAGAACGCAGCTGCAGTCTAGACGCAGGTGACATTTTTTCAAAAGAAGGCTACTTTTTTTGAAAAAACCCTGTGATCTAGACATACACTTTGGGGTCAATTATAGCTAATTAACTGCACAGAACACTGAGAACTAGGACTGGCAGCGGTAAACAAACTTTATGGGACTACAGGAAACTTGGCCACATCTATGATCAGTGGACATTTGGCTAACTAAAACCATGCAGTACCGTGGATATTACTGGATCAGAGTGTGCCAGACTAGAGAGATTCAACCTGTACTTATTGTAGAAGTCACATACTGAAGTGAGAATACATTTAAATTAGGACCGTATTTTTTAATTCCCATCTCTTGTATATAGGAATACCTTTCAGTGTTACTCTATTATAGCTGAAGGATTCATATTTCCTTTTTTCCCTTGTTAAAGTTCTTATATATACTTCTGTTTAAACGGATATATTTTCTGATTTTAAACAGCTTCTCAGCATGGACCTCCAGGTGTTTTTTATGCAGCTTATTACTACACAAGCAAATTTCCTGGGTAAGGAAAAATAAATCTGAGATAACAAGGACTAGTCAAGTCCCACTGTGTGACAGAATAAAGACAGGTCCCAGCAGAGCATTTCTGGGCCCCTAAGTTCAATCATGGCAGTTAGGCCCCAGCAGAGCATTTCTGGGCCCCTAAGCTCAATCATGGCAGTTAGGCAGTAAGTGAGTCAGAAGTGGCCTATGGGAAGAACAAAGGATTTGTAAGGGATTGCAAGAGACATGGGGCAAGAGTAGAGGGGCAGTATATATGCTGTTCAAAAATTTGGATTTGTTCACCTACGGAGTAAACTAACAGCCTCCTAAACTTCTATATGTAGAAATAATCACATTTTCCCCATTTTTCCTTCTGTAAGAAATCAGAGGAAAAACTCTTCTTCTTCTCTTAATCCCAAATATTTTGTTATCTATTATAAGTTTTAAGACATTCGAAAGTACAGGATGTTAAAACAAAAACAAACAACCTAGTACAGAGAGCCAGACAAACTTACACCTGCATATTGTAAATGAGCTTTTAGAAAAAGAATCCCTGTTGGTTTGAGCTTAGACCATTGTATATTGTCCACTCAAGTAGATCTAGCTCATCATGTAATAACTAGTGCCAAGGTATACTCTGTGGACTGGTAGTCTAAAGAATACCTTTATTCAGTGGTCTCCACAAAATGGAACTGTCAGCAACACCCAGAACATTTAAAATTCTTCCGTACACTCCTAAATCCTATACTATGAAATTGCAATGCTTTACGGCATTTTTACTAATCCAGTAGCCAACTGGGATAAAGCTGACCACAAGTCCAAGCAAACACTGTGTTATTTTTTCAGACGGAGTCAAATGTAACTGAACATGTTAGGCAGTGTTTAGACTGTATTTGTAGAGAGAGAGAAAAAAAACACAGTCACTACCGATTAAAAATATTATTTTATATTACTAAGAAACAATACCTCTTCAATTAGTTTAGTGTTTGACTTCTCTAATGAATCAACTCTTGCATGAAGGCTGCTGACTGTGCTACTGAAAGTAATAAAGAAATCAATATTCAGTATTAAACCAAAACTCATACAACCAAACACAAGAAGTTTCATGGCAAGCACTAAGTTTATTAGCAACAGCCAATAGGACTTCACTGATCATTGCACTTGGAAATGGTTAGAAATTATCTTCCTTTAGCAAATACTTACATGATACTCTTCTCTCTGCAATTCTGGTCACTGCTGACAACACTGTCATCATCGTTGCCACCCAACCCCACTATTTGGTTGTCATCTTTCACTCCTGCTCCCTCATCCACAGAGTGTCCAAATGTTGCTGCTTTGTCCTCAGTAAGTTTTCTAGAGTGCTGTCTTTGATTTTGGCCATACAATTAAAATTCTTTCCCAGATTCTCAGCACTTCTCCAGCTTCACTACTTAACTGCTCCCTGGCCTCCTTTCCCCTTTGAGGTCCTTTCAAAACACAACTACTAAAATCATTTACCTGCCCCATCATTCAAATCATTTCCTCCTTGAAATCCCGCTGTTAGCCCTCCTTTTCCCACTACATTATTTTCAAGCTCTATAAATTCAAAGTTATGTGCTTTCCTACTTATCTCTTCTATAGATTCTCCCTCCCACCACCCCTCCTCTCCACTGTCTCACTGCCCATTTCTACCACAGGCATATTCCAGGCTGACGTTTATGCACTGAACAATCCCCGATCTAGTCTGTAAAGACAAGTGTTCTTTCCTCCAATCCTACTTCTATTATGATGCCTATAGAAGGCTCCAAACTGATAATCTATGGTCAGATGGAGGGAATTAATAGGATTTGTTATTTGTATGTGGTTGGGAGCAACTAGTTTGTGAGTTGCTCAGTAGAGAAAAGGAGTATGTGTATGTGAGCAGAATTTTTTTTTAATGTCTTGAAATCATCAAGTTTTAAACATAGGCAACCTCTGTATCCACTTGATCTTACTGTGGCAATTCTACTCTCTCTCCCTCCCCCACTTCAATTTGTTACATCTCATTTGTTGTCTCATACTTCCTATTACAGAATTCACAGGTGACTGTACAGTGTTTAGCATAATGAGGCCCCAGTAGTAAACAGGGCATCTTGTTGCTGTTGCCATACAAATAATGATCAACAAGCACATTACTGATGTTTAAAATAACAACGTGCTTCTTCAGTATAGCTTCAACTTCTACCGTGCTAGTTTTTTGCTTTACACAGCAATACTGCGAACATCTTCACTGGCCATTAAGTCGTGGAACCTTTGTTCAGCTGGACAGAAAAGGAAAAATGCCCCCTTTAACTACAGGAATGAAGTACAGCAGGCAGGCATAAAGTGGGCCACTGTGCGTTGAAGCCCCCATCCCCAAGTGGATTACCTTTTTCAAACAAGAAGCAAGGAAACAGTATACCTGGGCCAAGTTGGCAGAAAAGGGGGAGGGTAACACTGCACCTTTCCCTGACAGCTGACTACAAGAAAAGGGAAGTATTTATATGCAGGGAAATGCCCAGAGAGTCCTCTTTAACGAGACCAGGTGAGCAGCACCCTGGTTTCTGTCCCACCCATGGAAGGAGTTAAAATACAAAATTGTGTTATGATCTGCTGCAGGAATATGATCAGTCCCCTCTTCTCTTGGGGATGTGAGGGAGATAGATGGCTGAGAAGGAATTTTTCCTCACTGCCAGATTGACCTAAGGAAGGTGGGCCTTTCACCTTCTCCACAGCAAGTTGGGGATATGGATCAGATAAAAAAGGATGGGTAGTAAAGATTTAAAGGAGTCGTGCTTTAAAGGTGAAGGGGAAAAATAGATAGGGCTCCTAATCAAATCGCCCTTCTTCAAACCCCCCTTCCCTTATCTGTTCTTTATAATTTTATCTGCCAGGTAATCCCAGATATTTTAAAAATAAAGCAATGGCCTAATTAAACTCAAATTCAGTGTCTCCTGTCATTCCAGCACAGCCGAACAATTAAAGTCCTAAGTTTTACACAGCAATGCTCTGCTGGGGGATTTCAGCAATGGAAGAATGGAACTTCCCCAAATCAGAACAGAGGCTCATTTCAAGTCACAGATTTGCTCTTAAAAGTAAAGATTTAATAAAAGTGATTTTTGATAATACATTATATTTTATATAGACATTTCACAACGCATATTTATGAAAACAAAACATAATCTGAAAATCTTTTCCCCTCCTGAATTCCACAATCACGTAGAAATAAGTTCCTCTGGAAAATGTTCTTTGTTTTACTACAAGCTTCATTCACTAATTCAATTCCATCTATTTTTTCTAAGGAGAAACAGCATATCAGGATCTGTCTGCATACCAATTTTATGAGCATTAGAAAAAGCTGTCACCTCAGTTCTAAGTACCACATACACTGGCTAGTTGCTGGTAAACTCTTCTTTCCAGATAACTCTTTTTCTAGATCTCCAGACTACGTCTAAACTACAGGCTTCTTGAGCAAGCAGGGCCAGACGGAGGCATAGGCGAGCCAACCAATGGGGAGCGCCTGATGGCAGCTGTAAGGGGCGCACAGCATCCCTTACAGCTGCCATCAGGCCCCGTGTGTCCGGCTCCCACAGCGCTGGCCCACCCACATCCCCACGGCGCCAGCCAGCAATGCCCTTCCCCCCACGGCCGCAAGGCCCTACATGGCCCGGAGTGTGTGCCAGCAGCGATGGCCAGGCTGGACTGGGCCATGCTTGCACCGTGCGCCCTAGGGGAGGGCCCCTGGCTGCACGCCAGCGGCTGTAGCCGGGCCGCAGGGCCGCACATGCGCCATGCGCTCCGGGGGTGGGCCTGTGCATACTAGGGAGGTGGGCCCGCTCCCCACGGGTGGACCCGCACATGCGCCATGCGCCCGGGGGCGGCACCGCGCGCCCGGGATGCCAGAATAAGTCGGGCCGGCCCTGTGCACAATGTGCTTTTGTGCAAGAGAGCAGCCACACTGCTGGGCGCTCTTGTATAAGAAAGCTCTGATGGCCATTCACAGAATGGCCATCACAGCACCTGTGCTTTTTTCCATAGGAGCACCTCTGGAGCGTCCACACTTGCCTTCTTGTGCAATAGCTGTAGCACTAAAAGCAACTGTGCCTCAGAAAAGGAGGTTTACCCTATGGCGGAAAAAGCCCTCTGTTCTGCCATTTAACTGCCCATTTAATTGTGCAAGAGCTCATTTGAGGTGTAGATGCTCCCCAGGTTTTTGCGCAAAAACCTTGTAGTGTAGACGTAGCCCCAGTGAATACAATTATAGATAGGGTCCACCATTTACCTATCAAACTTGGTCCTCAACATTACAGCCACAACCAAATTGCTATGGAGAAATTGTTAATGGAATCCTTGAGCAATCATTATCTGGTCATGTTGCTAGAGTGGAATGTGGACATGGTCACACATTTCATGCTGTAAGGCCAAAGATCGTAAGGTACAGCCATCTCTTCCCGTGGAGTCTTGTAAACACAAAGCAGTTCAAGAACTGCCAGTTCTGCCCTGTTTTGTTTTTTCCCGTACTCCAGATCGAAAGAGAAGAGGCCTACCCATCAAACTGACATTTGACTTCTCTTACTCAGTCTCCCCAGGATAAAATATATGTTTGGCAATTTCTCTCCATCCTCAAACTAAGTAGGATGGGTTTTTATTCTTTTCTCCTGCCGAGCTCAGGATATAGGGGAAGAGGGAGAAAGGTGTGTTTTAACTTGGAGGAAGTCTGGACTGACACTCATTCCCCAACAAATACTTACTTTAGTTGTCTGTTCAGTTCCTCAACGTAATTCTTTTGGTCCAAAATTGCAGCAATCTGGACATTTCTAAAGATAGAAACCAATGAATATTAGCAAGCACATGTATCTATACATTCAAAAATATGAATCTTCTATAAGCATATGAAAAAATACATATTAAAAATTCTATAAAAATACATGGAAGTGGCTTAATTTTATTGCGAAAACTAACAATCCCTACAATCAGATCATGTAGTAATGACAGTAGTAATGTGACAAAAACCGATACTCCATTATTACAAATAAATGTAACTTTGTGAGCTAGAATAGAACAAAGAAAATAGCTCATTTTAAAATCAACAAATTGGTAAAACAACATGGTCCTGTGGATTCGCCACAAAATTATTCTGCATAAAATTGCTTTGTTTATTTAGAAATCTAAACAAATAAAATGAATATGCTAAATACTACAAATGTTCAACAAATCATTTAACTTCATATGTAATATCCAAGGTGTTTTGACTGAACATACCTTTCCTTACTCCCAATATCATCTTCGTTCTTTAAATACATAGAGAAATCAATCACACCAACCTAGAATGAATAATGTTGGAATAAATAATTTTGTTATTCATGCCTTTGTATATATTTAACTGCCAAAATCTCAGTCAGTCCAACCTCTCTTAGGGTATGTCTACACAGCAAAGTTATTTCGAAATAACTCTACTAGCGTCTACACAAGCCAACCACTATTTTGAAATTAATTAGAAATACCGGAGGACATATTTCGAACTTGGTAAACCTCATTCCACAAGGAACAGCGCCTATTTCGAAATTGCTATTTCAAAATAAGAACTGTGTAGACGCAGAATAGGGGCTATTTCGAAATAGGGGGCCTCCAGTCCTTCCCAGGGTGCCCTGCTGGCCACTCTGGCCCCAACCTGGCAGCCACACACGTATGTGAAGAGACATGACATGTTCCTGACCCTGGGGTAGAACACAGCAGGACACCCTCCCTCCACAAGCCCCCTCTACTAGAGGCAGGGGACATCTCCCCCGCCCACATACCCACATTATACAAAGTACAGGGACATGAGTGCAGTCCCGGGGCAGCTCCCACTCCCAGGGATAGCAGGACATCCTGAACATGGCCTCTGTTCAAGCACATCGGCTCTGATGGTGCGGAGACCTGTCGTCCTTGCCTTGCAGAGCATGGCTGGGCTTCACCCACTGTGTCCCCAGGGAGAACTGATCACTTCTCTTGTTTCTCCACAGCCGCATCAGCTGCGAGTGCAAAGCACAACACACCACCTCCCGCACCCAAGGATTCCGCAGGCCCACCCATGCAGTGGTGGGGTACCAGCAGGAGCACCTGGGGACACTGCGAGCCCTGCACCGCACCCTTGACCACTAGGTGCAGGAAGGAAGCCCTGCAGCTCTGGCAAGAGCAGCTTGCCCAGGGCCGTGCCATCTGCGAGCACCTGTAGACCCTGGTGCAGAGCTTGCTGCCTCCTGCCGCTCCAGCCCCTGCTGCCTCCCCAGCTAGTGCACCTCCTTCCCCTCCTTCTCCCCCTCCCGCTTCTTCCTCCACACCCTCCCCACACACACCCCGGAGACACCGAGGCCCCCGCACCCATGGTGCTGGGAGACAGTTGGGATGGCCAGACCCCCAACCCTGAGCTTCTCCTCCCCCTTCCTCCCCTTACCTCCCCCTGCCAGCTCCCTCCTCCCAAGTTTCCCCCTCCCCTCTCCTACCCTCTCTCTTCCCCTCTCCCAGCCTTCCTCCCCTCTCCCATCTTCTTTCCTCAGTCTCACCTCAGTTTCATTCCCCCCCACCCACCCAGTTTTGTTCAATAAAGAGACTTTGTTGTAATGAACAAGTGTGTCTTTTATTGTACAGCAGGAAGGGGGGCTAAGTGGAAGGACATGAGGGAGGAATGAGGCACAAGCCCTCAGTGGGGCACACCATGGAGACTGTTACTGCCTGCAGAACGTCTCACAGCAACACATCCAAAAGCACCAGAGTGCCCAGGGGCGGCTCCGGCTCCATGCTGCAGAGCATGCTCCATGCTCCGGCTCCATGCTGCATGGTGTCCTGAAAGAGGGCAACCAGAGCACGCAGAGAAAAAAAATGCTTTGCTGCAAGCAAGCAGGGAAACCTGAGAACTGGGAGGAGGGATAGCTCAGTGGTTTGAGCACTGGCCTGCTAAACCCGGGGTTGTGAGTTCAATCCTTGTGGAGGCCATTTAGAGATTTGGGGCAAAAATTGTCAGGAATGGTACTGTGAAGGCAGGGGACTGGACTCGATGACCTTCAAGGTCCCTTCCAGTTCTAGGAGATAGGCAATCTCCATTAATTTAACTGGTTGTCCCATGGGGGGGAGGGTGTCCCTTTAAGCACAGACCTCAGGCAGCAGCCACACAACGTAACTCCTGACCTGATGCCCTGCCAAAACCGGTTCCGGCCGGCCTTAAATGCGATTCAGCGTTCCAATCAGTGTGGACGCGCTATTTTGAAATAGCAAAACTATTTAAAATGCATTTTGTGTCTAGAAGCGTTATTTTGAAATAAGATATTTCAAAATAACACTGTAGTGTAGACATACCCTTAGAGCGATCTGGCCTTAGCACATTTTCTTGGTATATGCAAATATGAATGCTAATATTTTTGCAGTAATTCTTTATTTTAAGAAATTACTTGAAAAATAAGTCTCAAATTTTGTTTCAATACATATGATCCATTGAAAATCATATAACTTTAAGGCCACAATGAAAACATACAATGAATCCTTTTCAATTCTGAAGGAAAATTTGTATTATATTCAAGTGTGTTCATCCAAGTAGTAATAGGAAAAATACTTTAATCTCATTTTTAGAACTCTATTAAATACACAGAAATCCTACTTATTCTAAGTAAATATATTTTCCTGCACTACACATTTTTCTCCCCTTCTTCAGTTCCACAATATTTCTCACCAAACTGCATGACTTTCCATCCTCACTGACTTCCATAACCACAATTCCAATTCATACACAACTTCTGCCTTCCGTTAAGACCCCTTCCTATCCTGCTCCCACACAGCATATGATTTTGCTATTTTTTCAAAGAGAAAGCATACAAGATTTACTGTTTCCCTTCTACACTTTCCCCACATCTTCACAAAACTGTTTTCTCTTTCACTGCTATCAAAAGCCCAGGTTTCTGTCTACTGTATAACTCTTCAAACCTGCCCCTTGAATCCTACTGTACCCTGGCTACTGACTACCCTCATCTTCATTCTCATGCCATCCCTGGCTGCCTGTTTTCAGCACAATGCATACATGATCCAATCTTCACCAGCCTTGCTAAACAAACTACTTTTGTCCCACTTGCCTAAATATACTGCTTTATCTCCCTTCTCCCCTTCACCTCAAAAGGATGTGTAGGTAAAACTAGAATTTTTCAAGATGCATTGTATCTATGTGTAGCACATATCGAACTCACATTCACAATGGTTGATGTATATGGTAAAGAGCATTATGATGCTAACCTATAGGATGACTATTATTAGGGTGAGGAAGTTAGATGTGTATAAAGAAGACTGGGTGTCTGAATGAACATTCACGATAAACCCCTAAACTCCATAAAAGGCCAAGCCACCATGTACAGGGGCCCACATTTCCCTTCGTATATTCTTTGCTCTTCATCATTATTATCTATCACTGACCTTTCAGCATTAGATGTCTGGGCCAAACTCATTTGGAATAAAACAGCTGGTCCTTTTGTCTCTCACCATCAGATCCCCAGTCAAGGATAAGTATATAAATATCTGAGCATATGCGAAGAATGATTCTACAGATATACCTAATGCTATATTACGGCTATTTGTTTACATGGTTTGGAGCTTTCTTGTCTTATATTAACACAAGCAGTAAAGTGGCTAAGGCTTTGCTTTGCCTTCAGTGTGTGCTTGCTGTATATGCTGGAATTCTCTACAAGATATTAAACTTAGTTTTAATTCTGTTGTTTCTGATCCTGGGACTAGTACCCTTTTATCACGTGCTCATTAAATTAATATCGACTGGAAACCAATACCATTATTAACCTTTGTGGCTTGATTCTTTAATAACAGTTCCTTAGTAGAGTCCTTTCTACTTCTCAGGATAGTCTGGACAGAAATTGAGCAGGCCTTTTTTATTTCTGATGTCCATCCACATACCATGCCCTTGGATAATCATGACTGGGTTGGGGCAGTAGGCCCATTCCTCGTATTATTCAGAAATTCTAAGATCAGAAGGGACCCATTGTGATCATCCAGTATGATCTTCTGTCCAGCACAGGCCATGGAACTTCCCCAAAATAACTCCGATAGCAGATCTTTTAGAAATCTTGATTTAAAAATCTGTGGTGATGGGAGAATCCACAACCTTTCTAAATTGTTTCAATGTTTAATTGTGCTCACTGCAAAAACATATGCCTTATTTTCAACCTGAATTTGTCTACCTTCAGTCCTCAGCCACTGAACTGTTAAACATTGGTCCACTAGACCGAAGTGCTCCTTATTAAATATTTGTTCCTCATGTGTATACTTACAGGCTGTGTCTAGATTTCACCCCTTTTCCGTAAAAGGGATGCAAATTAGACATAGCGCAATATCAAATGAAGCGGGGATTTAAATCTTCCCCGCTTCATTTGCATAAACATGGCTGCCGCTTTTTAAGAGGAATAAGGGATCTTTCAGAAAAGGCTTTATTTTCCAAAAGATCCCCGTCTAGACTGGCACTTTTTGCCGGCAAAGCCCCGGGCCGGAAAAAAGCGGCAGCCATGTTTATGCAAATGAAGCGGGGAAGATTTAAATCCCCGCTTCATTTGCAATTGCGCTGTGTCTAATTTGCATCCCTTTTACCGAAAAGGGGTGCAATCTAGACACGGCCACAGACTACAATCAAGTCACTACTTTTTCTCTGTTAAGTTAAACAGACTGAACTTCTATGTTTTTCAGATCCTTTAATCATTCTTGTGGCTGTACTCTGAACCCTCTTCTAGGTATCAACATCCTTGAATTGTGGGCATCACAACTGGATACAATAGTCCAGCAGTGGCCACACCAGTTCCAAATACTGAAATAAAGAAACATCTCCTCCCTCTCACCCTGCCCCCACCACACACACTTGAGATTCCCTCATTTATGCACCCAGGCTCACATTAGCTCTTTCGGCCACAGCATCACACTGGGAGTTCAGATTCAACTGCTTATTCACACATCCCAAAAAATCTTTTTTAGAGTCTCTGCTTCCAAGGATAGAGACCCCCATCCTTTAAGCATAGCCTACACTTTTTGTTCACAGATGCCTACATTTACATGTAGCCATATTAAAGCAAATGGCTTATTCAAGCTCAGCTTGCAAAGTAATCTATCCCGCTCAAAATCAGTGTCTTGTCCTTGTCAGTATTTACCACTCCCCCAATTTTTGGGTCATCTGGAAGCTATCAGTGGTGATTTTATGTTTTCTTCCAGGCACTGATAAAGATATTAACTACTGTAGGGCTAAAACCCAAATGTGTGGAACCCCACTGGAAACAGACCCTCTCAATGACAATTCCCCATTTACAGTTATATTTTGAGACCCATCAGTTAAGCTAGATTTTAATCAATTTAATATGTACATGTTAGTTTTATATCATTCTAACTTTTTAATCAAAATGAGGCTCTCCTAGATTTGATTTTGACAAACAGGGAGGAACTGGTTGAGAATCTGAAAGTAGAAAGCAGCTTGGGTGAAAGTGATCATGGTTATAAGGAATGGCAGGAGGTGAAACAGCACAATAAAGACAATGGATTTCAAGACGACAGACATTAGCGACAGGCGACAGACATATCTAGCTTTCCCTTCTGGATCTGTCTCCCATGATTCAGGCTCATGTTTCAGACTGGCTCTCAGGTGTCACACTGTCAGGTTAAACTTTACTTGGTCAAAACTGAATTCTGTATTTTCAACCGTCTCCACACCATTCATCGCAGCTGACACCACAACAGGTTGGACCTCCCTGGTCTGGAACCTTGGGACCTGACCAGTCCCAGATGAGCGATTTTGCCAGACCAGGGGTGGTCGTATTTGCCTTCCGCCCACCTCCGGATCCGCTGCCCTGCCAGTCCCCATCCCCCCTTGCCTGTCACACCAGGCAGCCCAGCTGGTGTATGCCAGGCAGCCCAGCTGTTGGGAATCAGGCTCCTGGCCCTGCTGGCAGCTCACTGCCAGCAGCCCACAGAGCTTATAGGCACCAGCGCTCCACCAGGACTCTCTGGTTCTGTAACATCTGTGGTACTCCTGGATGTTCACAGACAAGGGAATACTGGTTCAACCTGTACTGTCCTCCCTAACCCCTCTTTACTTCCCCACAGGTTGTAACCAAATCCAGCATCTGTCCACACAACTATAACTCCTGTTCATCCCTCTCATTTTTCATAATTCCAATCACTTCCCCAATGCCCTGCCATCCATACCATCCTATTCCAGTCTACACCAAAAACAGATGCTGAGATCATCTTTCTTTGCCTTATTATTCTGACCTTAATAAGTCCTTCTCCCTACTAGCTATTTCTTTTCCAACACATCAATAGACACCTGCACGTGTTGAAACTGAAAGTTATATTCTTTTTATATTTTTTATCTTAGGTTTAGTAATGTAGTAATGTAAGGTAATATATAATTGCATTTAAGATTGTATCTTAAATCTACTTCAAATCCTTCCTCAAGATTCATTTCTATCCTGTCTTCTATAACAAATTAGCAAACTAATCAATAAAGAAAGAGGTATTTTGGGATAAATGATTTTATGTAATTTTTAAAAGTATATATAAATAAAAGCATGCATTTCTTTAATAGCAGTTGTACATTGCCTATCATCCTAGATTATAAACTTTCAAGGTACTGACTGGCTACGTCTAGACTACATCCCTTTTTCGTAAAAGGGATGTAAATTAAACGTATCTCAATTGCTAATGAAGCGGGGATTTAAATCTCCCCCGCTTCATTAGCATAAAAATGGCTGCCGCTTAATTAGACACATCGCAATTGCAAATGAAGCGGGGATTTAAATCCCCCCCGCTTCATGAGCATAAAAATGGCTGCCGCTTTTTTTCGGCACGGAGCTTTGCCGGAGAAAAGCGCCAATCTAGATGCTGATCTTGCGGAAAATAAAGCCTTTTCCGAAAGATCCCTTATCCCTCTTGAAATTAGCTCCGTGCCGAAAAAAAGCGGCAGCCATTTTTATGCTAATGAAACAGGGGAGATTTAAATCCCCGCTTCATTAGCAATTGCGATACGTCTAATTTACATCCCTTTTACGAAAAAGGGATGTAGTCTAGACGTAGCCACTATGTCTTCCAATAAATACCTAGCACACTGTAGGCAGTACAATAATACAAATAACAAAAGCAACAACTGCAGACAACCTACTCCTATACTTCAACAATGAACTGATATTTAATAAGAGACTATTCTTTTTAACTATGGACATTTGGAATTCCATAATTGTCACTAAAACGTGTTAAGTTTAAATAAATTTTGTAAAAAAAAATATTGTTGTTGTGAATGAACAGACAAACATATTTTTATCAACAGCCATGCATCTGCCTCGATAAAAGCACTGGCCATTTTCGTGAAAAGTTCCTCGCAAAACACTGGGTAGTTAAAAGACATTTATAATTCACTTACTTGTGAATCCAAATCTTCTCCCTTCACACACAGGTTAGCATCTATCACATTTAATCCAACCAGCAGCCCAACAATAACGGCTCCTTCTTCTTCCATCATCAATGCATGATATTCATAAAATTCGCTGTAAAATAATGAAATGTATCAGATTTACTCTTTCCTGTGTCATTTTAACATACTGAAACTGAGTAAGTCAAGGTAAATGGAGTGTGTATTTGAGTCATTCCTTTAATTTTAGCCTTACTCTGATGTTTTTAAAAAATTAATCAGATCTGTACATCTTGTGACTTCATCATTAATGTTTTATTACACTAAGAGGAAAACACGGACACTATAAAATGCATGAAACAATATAATTATGGAAAATAGTGACAGTTTTGTAAAAATGCTAAAGGAAATCTTGTCATGCTTGTGAAATGTTCTGGGAATACTTAGTACATAGTGTATTTGATTTTTTAAGAGAATCAGGCCTTGAAATCAAAGGAATAACAAATCAGGTTAGAAAAGGCCTGGGCAAAATACGGCCCAGGGGCTGGATCCAGGCCGCCAAGCCACTGGATCTGGCCTGCGGACGCAGTGAGGAGCCTTAGGCAGACTCCCTGCTTGCCCCACACACACCCCAACTCTGCTCAGAAAAGCGACTGCTGCAGCCATTTCTCTCTCTAAACTGTGAGCCTGGGGCAGGGAGGAGTGGGGCTTCACGCATTGCTCCTGCCCCCAGCACAATCCCATTGGCCAGTTTCTGGTTAATGGGATCGGCCTGTTTGAAGAACAGGCAGCATTCAAAAAACATTACTCTGCCGCTCCCTTCAGGCTCTTATTCCCCAACACACGTGGCTTCTGCTGCCGGTGTGGGGGCAGGGCAGGCATGGAAGTTGCCTGAGAAATGTGCTGGGCTGCTTGCTGGGAGTCACCCAGGTAAATTTCCTGGCCAGAGCCTGCCTCTGGCACCTCAGCCCCCTCCCTCCCCCCACAAAAGTCAAACCCTTTTGTCTCCATCCTGAACCCGTACCCCCGCCCAGTCCCTGGACCCAATCAACTGCCCCAAGGTCACAACCCAAACTCCTGCACTGCCTCCTGCTCCCCAATCCCAAGCCCCAGGTCACAACCCCCTCCAGCACTTTGTCACAACTCAAACCCTTGCACCCAATCCCCTGCCCTGGTCACAACAACCTCCTTCACTTAAACTTCCTCCCAGACCCTATACACCCTCCTGTACCCCAAACCTTTACCCCAAACTCTCTTCTACACCCACTCTCCATCCCAGACCCTGCATCTCTGCCACTTTCCAAAATTATGGAGTGTCTCCCCATCAGAAATGTTTGCCCACCTCTGGGTTAGAGACTGGTGAGAAGAGAAAAAGGAAAGGAAATTTCTTAAAGCTGTGGCAGTTTTTAAATAAATGTATGTTCCACTAACAAAGTTACATGCTCAATAGATACAGCGTCAAAATCTTATATCTTCCTCTTTCTCTGTATTTATTTTTATTTAAAACAAAGTTTTAGGAGGTAAATTCAGTGCTCTTCTCATTAGAAAAGTATGATAGACCATGACAAACACCAACTGATGCATATAGTTAAGAGTCAAATCACAGATATTTGTTACTCTTGCATCTAGTGGTAATTCATGCACAACTAATTTTCTTGATTCAGTAGGACTATACACACACATGAAGTTGAACATATTCATATTTTGAAGATCAGAGGCATAATATTTACACATGGGTGTATTTCAAAATCCTTAGGGTTATTTTGTTTCTTAGGCCAAAGACTGAAATATACTGACCATTTCAAGAGAAATTCCCTTAAAATATACCAGATACAATTTTCTACATTTTTCTTAAGAAAGGCTATTTCTGTTACCCATTACAACTCATTCCAGTGCATATTTCCAGAATTATATGTCTGGACAGACTAGTAACTGCTAGTTTATAAAAAGTATAAACAATTCACAGCAACTCCACCGGTAAACTTTTTCATAAAATTTTGGTTTTCTTACTGTGCGTGTCTGCCCAATTATTGCTTATATTTTTAAAATGTATTTATTTCAGGTATTTGTAAGCAAACCATTTGCTAAGAAAGAGGTGACACAGAATGGGAATTTTTTGTATTAATTTTATGAGGGCTGTCTGTGCTTCATTTTCCCCTATATAGTGTGTTGTTACCCAGTGGGTAGAAAGGGACTGTGCTTTCAGACAGGGCAGACTGAGACACACAGGTGTGGATGTCACCTAGCTGTTTAGACCTCAGTCTCCGTATTAGCGGAACATCTGAGGGTATGTCTATACTGACAGATGTAAAGGACTGGCAGTTACAGCACTGTTCACAGAGCACTGCAGAAAAGTTGCTGTTATGTGTTTGCCCTGTCAGCTGCCAGCGTAGTTGAGTGACCACACTTGCAGCACTTGTAATAGCATTGGAGCAATGCAATTTGGGCAGCTATCCCAGAAAGCACCTCTTCCCCCTGTAATGGTGAGGGTTGTGGGAAGGTGGAAGGGGGATTGTAGGGCATCCTGGTCCTATCCCAATGTCCTGGGGTGCATTACTTCACATTCCAGCCAACCCTGTGCACTTGGCACCATCTCTCAACATCTTTTGTGTTGCATGATCTGCCTCCATGGTTTGCAGATTGGTGAAGAAAATACCGGTCTCACCAAGACATCATGAATGGCAATCGAGTTATTCCTTAAACTACAAAAAGTGATGATGAGGAGTCCGATACTGATCTTGCCACATATAGTAGCTCTGACACAAGATGTCTTGTAGCATTCACAGAGATGCTGACCACAGCAGAATGGCATTTACAGGCTTGGGAAGCAGGCACTGAGTGGTGGGATCACATTGTCATGCAAGTCTGGGATGACAAGCAGTAGATGCAGAATTTCTGTATGAAGAAAGCCACTTTCATGGGATTGTGTGATAAGTTTGATCCCAGTCTACAGCACAAAGACATGGGAATAAGAGCTGACTTGCTGGTGGAGAAGCACATGGCGATTGCACTATAGAAGCTAGCTATGCCAGACAACTATCAATCCGTTGCTATTCAGTCTGGATTGCAAAGTTGACCATTGGACTCATGTTGTTTGACGTGTACAGGGCTGTCAATCGCATCCTGCTCTGAAAGGCCATGACTCTCGGCAACATGAACAAACTTGTGGATGGCTTTGCACAAATGGGCTTCCCTAACTGTGGAGGGGCGACAGATGGCACACATCTTCCAATTCTGGCACCAAATCATCTAGCCTCCACGTACATTAATCAGAAGAGGCATTTCTCCATGGTTCTCCAGATGCTTGTGGGTCACGACGGATATTTCACAGACATTAACTCAGTCTGGTCCAGAAAGTGGCATAACACATGCATCTTTCAGAACACCGATCCATTCAGGAAACTGCAAGTAGGGACTTTCTTCCAAAACCAAGAAGCAGCATGGGGGAGGGGAAATTGACTAGTCCTTAACATCCTAAATATCTATCACTAATTGGCTGTTCCAGGGCAAGCACACATAACACAGACCCCCTAAATGGTGAGTTAACCACTGGGGCAAGGGAATTCATTGTTGCAGGGCCTTACTGTAATCTGGGCACATGTGTCTTGAGGACAGCTGATACTGCAGCTGCCCCCCATTATCACTCATGTCCACACATTTTCCACAGGCTGTATTCAACCTGGAAGATATCTCGCTGCTGAAGGTGAGCAGGGAAGCAAGACTGCAGCTTCTGCCCTGGCCCTTACACAGCTTGCCTGTGTGCAGTAATGATCTTCCCCCCATTACGGCACCCGGGGGGGTGGATCCGGGCCGCCAAGCCACTGGATCTGGCCTGCGGACGCAGTGAGGAGCCTTAGGCAGACTCCCTGCTTGCCCCACACACACCCCAACTCTGCTCAGAAAAGCGACTGCTGCAGCCATTTCTCTCTCTAAACTGTGAGCCTGGGGCAGGGAGGAGTGGGGCTTCACGCATTGCTCCTGCCCCCAGCACAATCCCATTGGCCAGTTTCTGGTTAATGGGATCGGCCTGTTTGAAGAACAGGCAGCATTCAAAAAACATTACTCTGCCGCTCCCTTCAGGCTCTTATTCCCCAACACACGTGGCTTCTGCTGCCGGTGTGGGGGCAGGGCAGGCATGGAAGTTGCCTGAGAAATGTGCTGGGCTGCTTGCTGGGAGTCACCCAGGTAAATTTCCTGGCCAGAGCCTGCCTCTGGCACCTCAGCCCCCTCCCTCCCCCCACAAAAGTCAAACCCTTTTGTCTCCATCCTGAACCCGTACCCCCGCCCAGTCCCTGGACCCAATCAACTGCCCCAAGGTCACAACCCAAACTCCTGCACTGCCTCCTGCTCCCCAATCCCAAGCCCCAGGTCACAACCCCCTCCAGCACTATGTCACAACTCAAACCCTTGCACCCAATCCCCTGCCCTGGTCACAACAACCTTCTTCACTTAAACTTCCTCCCAGACCCTATACACCCTCCTGTACCCCAAACCTTTACCCCAAACTCTCTTCTACACCCACTCTCCATCCCAGACCCTGCATCTCTGCCACTTTCCAAAATTATGGAGTGTCTCCCCATCAGAAATGTTTGCCCACCTCTGGGTTAGAGACTGGTGAGAAGAGAAAAAGGAAAGGAAATTTCTTAAAGCTGTGGCAGTTTTTAAATAAATGTATGTTCCACTAACAAAGTTACATGCTCAATAGATACAGCGTCAAAATCTTATATCTTCCTCTTTCTCTGTATTTATTTTTATTTAAAACAAAGTTTTAGGAGGTAAATTCAGTGCTCTTCTCATTAGAAAAGTATGATAGCCCATGACAAACACCAACTGAAAGCAATAGTTAAGAGTCAAATCACAGTTACTCTTGCATCTAGTGGTAATTCATGCACAACTAATTTTCTTGATTCAGTAGGACTATACACACACATGAAGTTGAACATATTCATATTTTGAAGATCAGAGGCATAATATTTACACATGGGTGTATTTCAAAATCCTTAGGGTTATTTTGTTTCTTAGGCCAAAGACTGAAATATACTGACCATTTCAAGAGAAATTCCCTTAAAATATACCAGATACAATTTTCTACATTTTTCTTAAGAAAGGCTATTTCTGTTACCCATTACAACTCATTCCAGTGCATATTTCCAGAATTATATGTCTGGACAGACTAGTAACTGCTAGTTTATAAAAAGTATAAACAATTCACAGCAACTCCACCGGTAAACTTTTTCATAAAATTTTGGTTTTCTTACTGTGCGTGTCTGCCCAATTATTGCTTATATTTTTAAAATGTATTTATTTCAGGTATTTGTAAGCAAACCATTTGCTAAGAAAGAGGTGACACAGAATGGGAATTTTTTGTATTAATTTTATGAGGGCTGTCTGTGCTTCATTTTCCCCTATATGGTGTGTTGTTACCCAGTGGGTAGAAAGGGACTGTGCTTTCAGACAGGGCAGACTGAGACACACAGGTGTGGATGTCACCTAGCTGTTTAGACCTCAGTCTCCGTATTAGCGGAACATCTGAGGGTATGTCTATACTGACAGATGTAAAGGACTGGCAGTTACAGCACTGTTCACAGAGCACTGCAGAAAAGTTGCTGTTATGTGTTTGCCCTGTCAGCTGCCAGCGTAGTTGAGTGACCACACTTGCAGCACTTGTAATAGCATTGGAGCAATGCAATTTGGGCAGCTATCCCAGAAAGCACCTCTTCCCCTTCTAATGGTGAGGGTTGTGGGAAGGGGGATTGTAGGGCATCCTGGTCCTATCCCAATGTCCTGGGGTGCATTACTTCACATTCCAGCCAACCCTGTGCACTTGGCACCATCTCTCAACATCTTTTGTGTTGCATGATCTGCCTCCATGGTTTGCAGATTGGTGAAGAAAATACCGGTCTCACCAAGACATCATGAATGGCAATCGAGTTATTCCTTAAACTACAAAAAGTGATGATGAGGAGTCCGATACTGATCTTGCCACATATAGTAGCTCTGACACAAGATGTCTTGTGGCATTCACAGAGATGCTGACCACAGCAGAATGCCATTTACAGGCTTGGGAAGCAGGCACTGAGTGGTGGGATCACATTGTCATGCAAGTCTGGGATGACAAGCAGTAGATGCAGAATTTCTGTATGAAGAAAGCCACTTTCATGGGATTGTGTGATAAGTTTGATCCCAGTCTACAGCACAAAGACATGGGAATAAGAGCTGACTTGCTGGTGGAGAAGCACATGGCGATTGCACTATAGAAGCTAGCTATGCCAGACAACTATCAATCCGTTGCTATTCAGTCTGGATTGCAAAGTTGACCATTGGACTCATGTTGTTTGACGTGTACAGGGCTGTCAATCGCATCCTGCTCTGAAAGGCCATGACTCTCGGCAACATGAACAAACTTGTGGATGGCATTGCACAAATGGGCTTCCCTAACTGTGGAGGGGCGACAGATGGCACACATCTTCCAATTCTGGCACCAAATCATCTAGCCTCCACGTACATTAATCAGAAGAGGCATTTCTCCATGGTTCTCCAGATGCTTGTGGGTCACGACGGATATTTCACAGACATTAACTCAGTCTGGTCCAGAAAGTGGCATAACACATGCATCTTTCAGAACACCGATCCATTCAGGAAACTGCAAGTAGGGACTTTCTTCCAAAACCAAGAAGCAGCATGGGGGAGGGGAAATTGACTAGTCCTTAACATCCTAAATATCTATCACTAATTGGCTGTTCCGGGGCAAGCACACAACACAGACTAAATATCTATCACTAATTGGCTGTTCCAGGGCAAGCACACATAACACAGACCCCCTAAATGGTGAGTTAACCACTGGGGCAAGGGAATTCATTGTTGCAGGGCCTTACTGTAATCTGGGCACATGTGTCTTGAGGACAGCTGATACTGCAGCTGCCCCCCATTATCACTCATGTCCACACATTTTCCACAGGCTGTATTCAACCTGGAAGATATCTCGCTGCTGAAGGTGAGCAGGGAAGCAAGACTGCAGCTTCTGCCCTGGCCCTTACACAGCTTGCCTGTGTGCAGTAATGATCTTCCCCCCATTACGGCACAGCGGCAAGGGAATGATACCTTTAATAGGAGAATACACAAAACAGCCCCTTTCCAAGGAATCTGCATAAGACTTTTGATGAGATCTGTGAAGCCAGTTACTGTGAAGTGAGTGTGTCCATCAACACTCTGTTCTGCCTCTCTTAACTAAGCATCTGTTGGTACTAGCACCACACAAACACAAGTCAGCTTTCTGCAACCTCCCACCCCCAGCAACTCGCTTCAATGCTTCCACAAATAAAAGACACTTACTAGGGGCATCCTTTGCTGTTTGTACTTCCATGACCCTCTGACTGCTGCGACTGGAAAGCCTCTTCTAGGGTAGAAAAAACTCTTGAGTGCCTGCATCTGTGGATACCATTGTACTCTGGCTCTGGGCTCTACTTCCCCAGCACCTGCATCCACAATTTCTTCCTCCTGGTTCAGTCCATTCTGGGATGGCCCCTGAGCCCTCAAGTATCCATAGAGTCTTTGGAGCGGGGCTGAATAGAACTGAGGTCACACCCAAGCTCTTTGTAGAACTGGCAAGTCGTGGATGCAACACCAGAACGACAGTTTGCTTCCTGTGCCTTATGGTAGGCATTGCACAGCTCCTTCACTTTGACCCTGCACTAGAGTGCATTCTGGTCATAGCCCTTTTGGTCATACATCTTGGTATCTGCCCATAGGTATAATGCCCATGGCTGCAGTGCAGTGGGGACTGGACTGCCTCCTCTTACCAAATGCTGATGAGGTCCAGCACCTTGGCATTGCTCCACATAGTGGATTGCCTGATACATGGAGCAAGTGTGGTCACCTGGAAAGATGTGCTGAGCGTTCTCCATATGTCACTGAGCAAACAGGAAAAGCACTGTCAGAATTCCCAAGGAATGTAATGGGCAGGTCTGAAAGTACAGAAACTCACCTAGAGCTGGGAGAAAGAGGTCAGACAAAGACAGAGCTTGAACCAGGGGGTTCTCTATAGCTTGGCTGAGCTCTGGACTAACCAGACTGGCCTATGTGTTAACCGTCAGTTCTACCTTAAAGAATTGTCTAGGAAGGAGCATGGCGAAAAGAGATCTAGGGGTCATAGTGGACCACAAGTTGAATATGAGTCAACAGTGTGATGCTGTTGCAAAAAAAGCAAATATGATTCTAGGTTGTATCAACAGGTGTGTTGTAAGCAAAACTCGTGAAGTCATTCTGCCGCTCTACTCTGCGCTAGTTAGGCCTCAGCTGGAGTACTGTGTCCAGTTCTGGGCGCCACATTTCAAGAAAGATGTGGAGAAATTGGAAAGGGTACAGAGAAGAGCGACAAGAATGATTAAAGGTTTAGAGAACATGACCTATGAAGCCAGGCTTCATGAACTGGGCTTGTTTAGTTTGGAAAAAAGAAGATTAAGGGGGGACATGATAGCGGTTTTCAAATATCTAAAAGGGTGTCACAAGGAGGAGGGAGAAAATTTGTTCCTCTTGGTTTCTGAGGACAGGACAAGGAGTAATGGGCTTAAAGTGCAGCAGGGGAGGTTTAGATTGGACATTAAGAAAAAATTCCTAACTGTCAGGGTGGTCAAATATTGGAATAAATTGCCAAGGGAGGTGGTGGAATCTCCCTCTCTGGAGATATTTAAGAACAGGTTAGATAGACATCTGTCAGGGATGGTGTAGACGGAGCTTGGTCCTGCCTTGAGGGCGGGGGGCTGGACTTGATGACCTCTTGAGGTCCCTTCCAGTCCTATTATTCTATGATTCTATGACTTCCTATGCAGTGTTCCAATAAACAAAAATAAATCCTGCTGCTTTGACAGCACTGTATGAGTGTCACTGCAAGTGCCTGCTGATATGATTGATCCTTGAAGAGTGGACAAGTCTCAATCAGAAGTCAGTCTCGGGCGGGGGGCTGGACTTGATGACCTCTTGAGGTCCCTTCCAGTCCTATTATTCTATGATTCTATGACTTCCTATGCAGTGTTCCAATAAACAAAAATAAATCCTGCTGCTTTGACAGCACTGTATGAGTGTCACTGCAAGTGCCTGCTGATATGATTGATCCTTGAAGAGTGGACAAGTCTCAATCAGAAGTCAGTCTCAGTTG